GATTCGTTAAATGTCAAAACGTAATATTTTATAATTTTGACATAATAATGTTTTCCTACGTGATATTTTCTGGTGTAAAACCATGGTTTACAAAACTTATTCGAATAAACATCATTTCACCCTTCCCTGATTTCGTATGTACCGTCAACATTTCACGTTTTGCGTCGAGAGCTCGAAAACTTTTGCCACGTTCGTCGAAAACGCTCAGCTTAACCGAGACCGGTGCGCTCGGCTGTATTTTCGTGCTTTTCATCCACTTTATCTCCGCTTTTCTCACGCAATCTAGACGTTTCATATATTTTGCATACTTCTCTAGCATCAGTTCACGCTACACTTCAAACACTGTTCTGCCTACATGCCTTTTGACATAGTTCTTTTCGCTGAAAAACGCTGATGTACTTTATGCATCACTAGGCACTTTAGAATTCTGATATGTTAAACCCAGTCAAAAATGATTAGTCGAATCGACATAGTCAAAAATCAATATCAAATACTGCACTAGGAATAAAATAATGTGTCTTCATCAAAGCTATATAACTGAGATATTTTTAACTAAATACTTTGTTTATACAACAAAAAATTAGTTATTTCTACTCAATACACTTTTCATTTTTATAAATAATAAAAATATTTGTTTATATCAACTAAACACAGTTTAGTTGGTATAAACGTTACATAAATATTTTCATTATTTACAAAACTGGAAAATGTATTGAGCAAAAGCAACTAAACTTTTTTTAACAAAATATTTTATGAGCAAAATATTTGATTGCTGTTAAAAAAATGCCAGTTTTGATAAAAATTAATTTTTATTCCTATAAATTGATATTTTTTCATTTTTTACTTCATCGTAATTATTTTTATGTTAATTTAACAATTGTAAATATTTCTATAAAATTTATATTATCTTTTGATCAAATAAATACATATAATTAATGCAAAAGCTCAATATATATATATATATATACAATTGTAAAAGCATATTATACAAAGTGTCAAAATTCGCGGGTCTCAGAATATTATAGCAAGAAAGTTTTAAAAAAATTAAGTAAAAAAATTATTTGTAAATTTTTATTTTAAGAGTTTCTGAGATATAAGAGTTTAAATACGGCCAATTACAGACTGTTTAGATAGTCATTTGTAAGTATTAGTGAACACGCTAAAGTGAGCGCTTATCACGTTCATTAATATTATACTATCACACGAGCCATTCACAGATGTGTGATTATCTAAACATAGTCCGTATAATTGGCTATATTTAAAATCTTATTATTTCAAAAATTACTGCTTCAAATAAAATTTACAAATAACTTTTTTATTTAATTTTTCATGAACTATTGCAGCGACTCCTAAATTTACTTTAGAGAAAAATTATCGTGCTAGATTTGCGAAGTTAGCACACCATATTTTTATATTTTGTTTTTTCATATAAAAAAATGCGGAACTTTTTTTATTTTTAGGTAGAACTGTAGAAGATGGAAAGTGCTGCTGACACTATCATTATTTTTTTTTATATTAATAGAATATTGTGCTAGCTTCCCAATCAATCGACGTCAATTCGAGTAATCATTTCTGGAAAATGCTTTTAAAGCTAATAGCTTTTAAATTATTATACAATATATCTTACGTTTATTAGATACGTTTAGATAAAAAAAAAATTCATTGTATTATAGAATAATCAAATAAAAATGTGTTTATAATTAATTGTCTTGTAATACAATCAGTAAACAATTTTTCTTATGCTAACATTAAGATGATATATCAATTATAGTGAGTATACATATATAATGTATTGAGTCATATGCATATGTCAACTAAACTCTAATATTTCATAATAATCAGGCTTGTTATGTTTTTTATCATGAAAAAATATAAAATTATAAATATAAATTCGTAAAATAAAACGTAAATTAAAAAATTAAAAGATCCATGTGAATCGGTAATCTTATAAAGCACTTTTTGTGAAAAGAAAAATTACTACCAAAGAGAGGCAACTTTTATAAAGAAAATACTTGTGATGAGTGTTCACAGGATAACAGGCGAAAAGAATAATATAAGGGCTATTAATGGATTTAACTTCCAAACGTCGTTATATTAAAAGCATAAATTATCATTGGTTTCTTTTTCTTTCTAGAGAACCGTCTGGCAAAACTAATTAACGCTGTTAAGACTACGCGTAATAAAAACAAAGCCTGTCTGAGCCGATTGAAAAACGAATCAATTTACGCTCGTCTGTCGACTGGCACTTGTAACTTTGCTCCTCATTCTTTCTCGTTACTAGAAAACCCTCCACTTAAATCCAATTTCAGTTCGACATATCAAGTAGGATACTATTAAGATGTCGGATTGTGTTTTTCTAGGCATAACATTTATTCGACTTTTATTTAATTATACCTGTGTCAGTTCTCGTTTCACTTTTATTTTAATTTCAATTTGATCTTATAGTTTATTTTACGATATTATCGATTAGAATAACAAATATGAACGACTTATTGTATTATAATTTTATACAAATGTGATATTAATATTTGAACTCGAGCTCTGTTATATGCGATTCAATTTCGCATCTATTATTGAAAATGATATTTGTCGTGTCTATTCAAAGGATTTAGATTGAACAGTTAATGAATGACATGGGGGGATTCTCTTGATTTATATATTCTCCGCTATCTTGTTCCCATCCTAACTACAACAGAGGGGCATGAGAGTGTTTCTGAAGGTTGTCATTAATTTCTAAGGATAGAGGAAAAGCACATTTCTATCGCGCTGTACCTGAATTTCGTGTGTTTCGACAGTTTCATACCGAAGTCAATTAAGCTCTTTTGTTACGCGAAGCGTTGCGTGAAAAGTAATAACAGTGACGGACAGATGCGTTTGTTGTGTTCTAAGAAAATACGTTAGAATAGATTATTCGAAACTCAATGCGATACGTCGTTTCAACAGACACGTTGTCAAAAATTATTTTGCAGATGCAAGAATTTCACGGCCGCCAAGAGGCTTGGCACAGCAGGTAATCCGACACCGGTACGAATGCCGCACGCGCATCCAGAAACGTTTCGCCAATTTATTCGTTACATCTATACCGGTATGGTAGGTATCAGTTATGCAACTTAAGAGTTTTTTTTAAATTAAGTCACCGTAATTAGATATATAATTCTGCAACAATGTCCTATTATTCGATATTTTTTTTAACACAGTGCTCCTCAAACTCCATTTTGAAGTTTTATTTTTATTGAAAAAGCTAAAGCGATAAGAAAAACAATTTTAAAAATTTCGATAAATGTCTAAACAAATATTACGCTACTTACAAATGATTGTAATGTATTAATTTAAAAAAATGTTTCTTCAAAAAATATTTATTATAATACTTCATAATTTATTTTTTCTTATGGATTTCTTGCATTTATATGTATAAAAATCATAAAATTTTAAAGTATAATTTTTAGTATAATTAATATAACATAAAA